GGTCAGGTTTTTATTGCAGTGGTTTAGGAACTTTTGGAGTTCTTCCTAAGTCATACTTGATTTTAAAGTGTTATTATAAATTGCGACAGGATATACGAATAATCCTAAATGTATTTTCAGATCTTGGTATACTTTGTTAGTAAAACAGAGGAACAGAAAACTATGTGATTTTGTGTGTGCTTAGTTTATGTGTTACTGCTTCATAGAATCACAAAATCACAGGATGACAGAGTGGTTTGGATTGGAAGGGATCTCAAAGGTTTTGTGCTTCCAGACCCCTGTTGTGGGCAGGGACATCCTCTACTAGGCCAGGTTTCTCAAAGCCCCATCCAAACTGGCCTTGGAAATTTCAGGAATGGGGCATCCATTGCTTCTCTGGGTAGCCTGTGTCAATCCTTCACCACCCTCACAGCGAATTTCTTTCTTACATTTAATCTAAGCCTGCCCTCTTTCAGTCTAAAGCCTCTACCCCCCTGTTCTATCATTACATGCTCTTGTAAAAAGTCCCTCTCCCGCTTTCTTTTAGGCCTTTTCAGGTACTGGAAGTCTGCTAGAAGGTCACAGAATCACAAAATGGATTTTGCTGGAAGGGACCAACCACAGTGAATCCTGTGTTCCCTGCTCAAGCAGAAATGTCCTGGAGCACATGGCGCAGGATTGTGTCCAGGCGGTTCTTAAATTATCTCCAGCGAGGGAGATTCCACAACCTCTCTGGGCAATCTGTTCCAGTGCTCAGTTACCCACAGAGAGCAGAAGTTCTTCCTCATGTTCAGGTGGAATTTCCTGTGCATCAGTTTCTGCCCATTTCCTCTTGTCCTACTGCTTGGCACCTCTGAGAAGAGCCTGGTCCATTGTCTTGATACCTCCCTTCAGATACTGATAGACATTGATGAGGTCCCATCTCACTTGTCTCTTCTCGAGGCTGAACAGGCCCAGCTCCCTCAGCCTGTACATCACTCGGAGGCATCAGCCACTCTGCCCAGCTTTGTATCATCAGTGAATTTGCTGAGCAGGCATCTGCCCCTTCATCCAAGCCGTGGATGAATAAGTTAAAAAATACAGCCTTAAACCTAGAGGCACATCACTAGGGACAGGCCTCCAACTACACCCTGTGGCTCTGATTTTAACCCCTGGGATCTGTTCAGCCTGTTCTTGATCCATCTCACTGTCCACTCATCTAGCCTACATTCCTGAGTTTGTCTAAGGAAATCCACTATCAAAGTAGAAAATATCCACTGCTCTCCCCTCATCCATCCAAGCAGTGGTTTCATTAAAGGTGGCAATCAGGTTGGTCAAGGTGGTTTTAACTGAGTGAATCTGACCATTCCTGATCATCCATGTGGATAGCCTTCTGAATGAGGTGCTCCCAATCACCTTTCCAGGGATCAAGGTGAGGGTGACTGGCTGGTAATTCCCAGGGTCCTCGTTCTTTCCCTTGTTGAACACTAGGTTGACATTTGCTTTCTTCCATTGTGAGCAGCCTCGCAGCCATGTCTGCAGCACTTGTAGATGAATCCCATCAGGATGTATGGACTTGTGGATGTCAAGTTTAGCTACATGGTCTCTACCCCTATCTTCCTTGACCAAGGGAAAGTCTTCACTCCAGAATTGCTTTACCCTGGTCTCCTAGGTCAGAGAACCCTGAGGGCTGGTCTTGTCAGTGAAGACTGAAGCAAAGAAGACATTCAGTGAAATGTCTTCTTCTGTTTTCTATTCATTCTCTGTTACCAGGGTCCCTCCCTCCCTCCATTCAGCAGCAGGACCACATCATTCTTATTTTTCCTTGTTATTGATATTTGAAGAAGTCCCTCTTGTTGTCTGTGACATCCTTGGCCAGATTAAATTCTAGGTGGGCCTTGGCTTTCCTTGTGTCATTCTACTTAGTTTAACAGCCTCCCTGTATTAATTACAAATGGCCAAATCCTGCTTCCATCTCCTCTGTATTTCCTGCTTACTCTTGATTAATGACAGGAGTTCCTTGTTTATCCAGGCAGGTCTCTAGCCCCATTTGCCCGATTTCTTGCTCATCAGGATGCATCATTCTTGAGCCTGGAGGAAGACCAACTGTCTTTGACCCCTATTTCCTGCAAAGCATGTTCCCATGGGATTCTTCCAATAAGGTTCCGAAAGTCCATGGTTACTATCTTACTTGCTACCCTGCTTCATCCTCACCTGATACTGCACTTCACAATCTCATCGTCTCTGCAGCCAAGGCTGCCCCCAGCCTTCACACCTGCAACAAGGCCTTCTCTACTTGTTAGTGTGAGGTTGAGCGGCACAGAATTCCTTGGGGATGCCCCACTATCTGTGACAGGTGCTTGTTATCAATGCTCTCCAGGAATCTCCTGTACTGTTTTGGGCTTTGCTGTGATGCTTCTCCAGCAGTTGTCACGGTAGTTAAAGTATCCCATGAGAACCAGTACCTGTGGCTTTGAGGCTACTTCCAGCTGTGTGTAGAAGGCCTCACTTGCTTCCCCCTCTGGATCAGGTAGTCAGTAAGAAGCATTCCAGAGTCTTCTCTTCTCCAGGCTGAAGAACTCCAGTTCACTTAGCCTGTCCTCACAGTGAACGTGCTCCAGCCCTCCTCTGGACTCAGTTCAGCACATCCACATACTTCTGGTGCTGGGGGCACCAGAGCTGGATGCAGCACTGCAGGTGGGGTTTCACAAGAACAGAGCAGATAGATATCACTTCCCTCTTCTCCTGGTCACACTGCTTTGGATGCAATCCAGGATACAATTGGCTTTCTGGGCTTCAAGTTCCAGGTCTTGTATCATCAACAGCCCCAGTTCATTCTTCTCAGGACTTCTCTCAATCCACTCTCCACCCAGACTATATTTGTACTTGGGATTGCCCTGACCCATGTACAAGACCTTTACACTTGGCCTTGTTGAGCTCGATGAGGTTTGCACAGTCCCTCCTCTCAAGCCTCATGTTCCCTCTGGATGTCATCCCTTCCCTCCAGTTTTTTGACTGCACACAGCCCAGTGGCATCACCAAACTTGCTGAGGATGTGCTCAGTCCCACTGTCCATGTCTCTGACAAAGGTGTTAGACAACAGTGGTCCCAAAACCAACATCTGAGGAACACCATCAGCACTGGTCTCCGCTTGGACATGAGTTTTGACTGCATTTCTTTGACTACAACCATCCAGCCAATTCCTAATCCACTGAGTGGTCCATCTGTCAAATCCATATCTCTCCAATCTAGAGACAAGGACCATGTCAGATGTTTTTCACAAGTCCAAGTAAATGAAATCAGTTGTTCTTTCCTTATCTACAACAGTGTAATCCCATCATAGAAGACCATTCCTCAGGCATAATTTGCCCTTTGTGAAGCCATGTTGGCTGTCACCAGTCACCTCCTTATTTTCCAAGTGCCTTAGCATAGTTTCCAGGAAGATCTCCACTGTCTTGGTGGACACAGAGATGAGAAAGATTGGCTTGTAGTCTTACTCTTCTTCCTTTTTTTTTTTTTTTTTTTTTTTTTTTTTTTTTTTTTTTTTTTAAAAAATTTAATTTTCTTTTTTTTAG